TCTCTGAGGAGGTGATATGTAGGCTGAGACCTGAAATAAAGGAGCCAGGCTGAGGCAGCTAAGGGAGGAACATTCCCAAATTCTGGAAGAGCCTCACACGCTCACCCAGGTCACTGATACGACCTGTTCGTGGGATTTCACTCCTTACTGCTCCTGACTCTTCTGTTTTGTGTTTGGTTTTCTTTATTTCATGAATTCACTTCTTTTCATTTGATCGGTTTTCTGTCACCACCTATGTTCTCCGTTTCGTGGTCCTGCTTTTATCTTGTGGCAGTGATGCCTTTTTGAATCCCATCGAGGGAACCAAGCAGTTTTCTTTTTTTTTTTTTTTTTTTTTTTTATGTTTATTTATTTATTTTTGAGAGAGAGTGAGCGAGCACATAAGTGGTGGAGGGGTGGAGAGAGAGGGAGATAGAGAATCCCAAGCAGGCTCCACACTGTTACCATGGAGCCCGACGTGGGGCTCAATCTCACGGACCTTGAGATCATGACTTGAGCTGAAATACAGAGTTGAACCCTTAACCAAGCAACACCACCCAGGCGTCCCAAGCAGTTTTCTTTAAAATGCAAAACTATCTGTTTCTTGTAAAAGCTCGCTTTCAAATGTCTGATCTTCCTCAGGATCTAAAGGGTAAAGTCCCCCTTCCCTTGTTCCACAGTACTTTTCACGGTCCCATATTGGGCTCTTTTACTTGTCTGTCTGAATTTTATGGGCCGGGTGTTTTAAATCCATATTGGAACAAGGGAACCTTTCAAATAACATCTGCCAGTCTACGAAAGGCCCTTGTGTCCACCTTCTGCCTCCCTGGCCGCTAGTTGAATTCCCTGCCCAGAATTCAACAGGAGGGCAGGACAGTGTGTCCAGTTGCACATGCCAGTCAGCTAGGTTGGTACCGCTGGCCCGAGAGAGAGCTTTCTCCTACCACCTGTCTGGCTCTTTCACTCTCTGAACAGAGGCATTGCATGCAAAAGAGTCTTCACCAGGTTACACTGCTCCCATGTCGCTTTCTGCTTCAGTGTCTCACCTTCTGCGCTTCCCTTTTTCATTCAACACCTGTAACCTGAGTGCCGTCCTTCGCTGGCCGGGATGTGTTCTGTGTCCTGGGTCCGGCAGTGGCCAAGACAAACAAGGCCCTGCCCTCGTCCCTCGTCCCAGAGAGCCCTCGTCCCAGAGAGCCCAGAATGAGCTCTCGTCCCATTCTTGCGAGGATACAGTGCACCCTGACCTGCTCCTGCCGCCTCCGCTGCGTGTCTGGTTACTTCCTCTTGTCGTGACTGAGTGTCTAAAGAGTCAGGCTGATGAGACAAGGGCCGCCCTGGCGGCAGCAGAGGGGTGTCTGCCCCCATCCCGCGGGGCATGGGTTTCCAGCAATGGGGGCTCTCGCTCTGACCCTACATGGCCACCAGCTCCACCAGTCACTCTTTTCAGTGCTTCTGTTGATCCTCACGGTTCATGAAAAGTCTTCTCAAATTCCGTCTTCAGGTGTAACTCTTGCTGCTAGTTTTAAGTTATTTATAGTTTCTTTGCCTTTATGGGTATTTTAATACGAAATTGACATAGGTTCTCTTGGAATATAGTGCCGACCTGCAATGTTGGTTCTCCGATGTTGCGTTGGGGAGTAAATGTGGGATAGTCAGTGCCAACGTCTAGCAGGAAGGCAGAGATATAGTCCTAAGCCTTCAGAGACACAGCAGAGCTAGAGGCAGAGCCCCAGAATCATCAGAGGAGAAGGGACGTGTAGATCCCCAGGGGAAAGCTGATGAGCTCTCTAGTGATGAGAGAGAACCAGTGAGCCAAGATGATGTTTTTAGAAATATCAACACTTAATGGACAAAAGGGAGAGAAAATAAGCTACACATTGCTCTCTGTTGATTCTGTTTCTTTTTTCCTCCCCTGTGAAAATGTATACATACATAAATAAATATTCATCAGGTCTTGATTATCCGCTTTGCCAAACAGATGACCCTGGGCTTTTTTCCCCTCACAAACGTCCCCTCTTTGGGGCCAAGCTAGAGAGAAGTTGGAATGAGAGTCAGGTCACGGGCGAACCTCTGGCTGCATAGGCAATGTTCGTGAGCATCCTTCCGAAATACGGTGTAGTACCATTTTAGAATTATTCCCTACATAGCTACCGGTGTCTGAAGGCTTACAGACTTCAAGCAACTCCACTAAGCACACGTTGTCTCATTTCACCTCCACAATAGTATGGGGTAAATATTATTACTCCCATTTATAGTGAGAAAGTTGCCTATGATAGGAATTCTATGATTTACCCAAAGTCACACAAAACGAGAGTGGCAGAGTCAGGATTTGAAGCTCAGAGCCTGAGCTCTGAGGGCCATATTGCATTCCCACCCCACCCCATCCACACACACACACATGCACACAAACATGCACACATGCACACAGGGCAACTGCATGGGTATTTGAGGGGCTGTATGAAAACAACTAATATTCAGAGATTTTTTTTTTAATAAATAAAATATATTACTTCCATGCAAAAGAAGTGTCAGAGTTGCTTTCAAACCTATACTTACTTACTCTAAACTTCAAAACATTTATCAACATTCATTTTGGAAATACACTCTGCGTTATTTTATGACAGAAACAAATATTAGTTTCATTAGCTGACAATCATACCTTGTTATTGACCAGAAAGTACTAAACATACATTCACCAGATTTACCTCCACAGGACTTTTGGGTTATTGTAAAAGATTATTTTTTTCACTCGAATCAAAATTTCCCACTATATGAATATTCAAAAGAATCTGCTACAAAATCATGTAAATTCTTTACGGTTCTATAACTATAGCACAGGAATATTCTTTTATTTTTTTTTAATGTTTATTTATTGTTGAGAGAAAGAGTGCGAGTAGGGGAGGGGCAAAGAGAGAGGGAGACACAATCGGAAGCAGGCTTCAGGCTCTGAGCTGTCAGCACAGAGCCCAACACGGGGCTGGAACTCACAATCTGTGAGATCATGACCTAGGCCAAAGTCAGATGCTTAGCTGACTGAGCCACCCAGGTGCCCCAGCACAGGAATGTTCTTATGCAGCTATTAAAAAATTTTATTAATGAAGACCACATAGAAACATGGGAAATACCCATTATGTTAACATGAAAGATGGTATGCATATTATACTGCAATTATGTAAAAATATGCATCCATAGAGACAAGAACAAAGACTAGAAAGTAATTGGCAAAAATAAAAATGATTGCAAAATGAGGGATATTTCAGATTTTTTCAAAATGTTCTCCAGTGTTTTACTATATTAAAGTAGCCAGTCTGTACGCTTTGTTTGCTCATGCTCTGGACAGCTTTGTGAAGTAGACCAGTAAGTAGCCTGTGGGCAGTAATTCACAAGGGAAACATAAGATCTCTGCCAGTTTTTTAAGGACCACTGCTTAATCACAGGGATAGGAGATTTTCCTCTATATAACAAAGTAGAATAGTTTTCCTCTTCTGAGGCTGTTTTAAAAAGTTGTTATTTTCCCACTCAAAATGTACAATTATCGTGTAAATATCCAAATTCACTTTGAGGCAGCTGTTTTCACAGGAAGAACATGAAACTGTTTTGATCAAGAAACAACAGCACTTTATTATCTATATTATCAAACGTAAACTCCCCAACCAAGTATTAAAGACTTAAAATCTCCTATGGGGTGCCTCGGTGGGTCAGTCAGTTAAGCGTACCACTTCGGCTCAGGTCATGATCTTACGGTTCGTGGGTTCGAGCCCCGCGTTGGGCTCTGTGCAGGCAGCTCAGAGCCTGGAGTCAGCTTCGGATTCTGTGTCTCCCTCTCTTTCTGCCCTTCCCCTGCTCAATTCCTGTCTCTCTCTCAAACAAGTAAACATTTAAAAACAGATAGATAAATAAATAAATAAATAAAGACTTAAAATCTCCTGTCTCTTTCCCTAGTAATGCTTCCCCATCGAGATTTCTCTGTAATGGCTCATTGTTCCCTTGTTTGACATGCTGCATCATGATCCAGCACTGCAAATTTTATATATGGGATTAAAATAACCATTAGTGAAGCTCCTATATTCTGACATCTTTGTCTCACATCTCTATTTTTTAATAAAATGAAATAATAAAATAAAATAAAATAAAATAAAATAAAATAAAATAAAATAAAATAAAATAAAATAAAATAAAATATTGCGGGATACAATTCAGGTCTCCTTTTTGCTTTTCCCCAGACCCACTGCCCTTCCCTCCTCCTCTGGGGGCAGCTACAGTCATGGCTTTGTGCAGGGGTGGGGGCCGCTTCCGTGTGTCATCCTACTTACATATGCAGCTGTAAACAATAGACAGTACTTTAAGATCTGCACGTCCGTGTACTCTACGTGTCTTCTGCGACTTGGTTTCTTCATTCAACATTGTTTTCAAGATCTGTCTGCATTGTAATGATAGATTTGTTCATTTATTTCAAGTTCCCTGCAGCATATTAATTGTGCTGTGATTGCAATTCACTGAAAAACGAAGGAGCATATTCCAAAAAGATCTTGAGTTACTCCCTGTATGACAGGGAGGAAAAACCCTTGCCGGAAGAGCTTTCTGCCATCTTTGATTTGAAGAGTGGATTGGAGCGGCTTTCAAGTGTGAGCGCAAGCTCTGGAGTAAAAAGCATCTGGCCAGGGCTAGGGTAATATGTGCTGACTGGGCGAGGGAACAGGAGTGGTTTTAAAATACAATTATGCTTAGAGCATATGCTATTTAAGATACCATTCCTCCCTCCCAGCAAGATCCTGTCACACTGGTGTTGATGGCTGTATTCTTCTGCTATGGAAGAAACAGAACTAGAGTTGACAAATGTCTCTTTGGCATTTGTCTGATACGTAGATAAAGAATTGGGCCTCAATATTCCCTCTGTAGTTGGTGAACATTTGTTGAACACCAACAGTGAAATAGGCACAGGAAAGGCAGCTGCTTGCAATATCATCTCAGTATAAGCAGGAGCCTTGCTGAGTGTTTCTGTCTGTCTTTTATTAAAGGTCCACACACGTTCCTGTCGGGGAGGATCAAGTCCAGCACATGGAGCTAGTTCAGGATCTAGCACAAGGGTTTAACAAGAAGTATGGGGAGTTCTTCCCGGTGCCCAAATCTATCCTAAGTAAGTAACACACATATGACTGTTAAATCAGGCCATGTTTCCAAGACAGGACTGGATAATGGACCAAGGCTTGGGATTTCTCCGGGGCTAAACTTGGCTTTCTTGTGGACAGGCTTCAGGATTTGTAACTAGAATCCCCATCTTTCTCTGTACTGTGGTAGACCTTGTTAGATTATTGGATAAAATAACTAAAAAAGTTTGAAAAGTATGGGAAAGGCTAAAAATGAAAAATAATCAAATTCATTAAATTATATAATATGCATATATATATATTTGGTAAATTATATAATATTTTGAGAGTATGAGAAAGACTTAAAATGGAAAATAATCATTTTTATTAAAAAGGATTATATAATTTACCAATTATATATATTTGGTAAATTATTTTATATGTATATTGAAAACATATTAATCAATGTGCTAATATTGTATTATTAATATATCGTATATTAATATTTTATATATTTAATACTTTATAATGAATTACATATATATATGCACACACATACTTCCCTGGTTTATGGATGGGGATACTAATGGTTGGCAAAGCTAATTTTGCATCCAAGTCATATATCAAGTTGGTGGCAAAGCTCTTCTGATTTCTTTTTTTTTTTTTAATGTGTATTTATTTTTGAGAGAGAGAGAGAGACAGAGTGCAAGCGGGGGAGGGGCAGAGAGAGAGGGAGACACAGAATCTGGAGCAGGCCCCAGGTTCTGAAAACTCTTCTGATTTCAAAGCCAGTCGACCTTGCCTTCCCTGCTCACAAGAAAACAGTCAGAAGACTGAGAACTGCTGAGTCATCAGCTAGATAAAACAAGAGGGCACTGATCGTTCTCACACTCTCCCTTCCTAAATGCACGACATCGACAGAATGTACCGTCCACCCAGTGGATCTGACATGGCACCTGCAGCTTGTGAGGTAGTACTGGTCTGGAATCTTCTTGAGGAAAGAAGCTGTGAATCTCTATCAATATTTCAGTAGCGATGCAGATTTGTGGCAAGGGCAGAGATCACTGAGCCCAATTAAACTGAGCGTTTATTAAACTGACTGCATTTACGTGGGCCCAGTATCTGATCAGAAGCAAAAGGCAGGTATAAATTTCTAAGCTATTGCAACAGTTCGCACAAATAAAAACTGGGCCTTCCATGCATTGAAACCTTCTTTTAGCAACAAGTAATATTTTAATGCTTTTGCCTATTATTGTTTTTCCTATTTCAACTTGATATGTTTCTGTAATAGCCATAAAATAGGCAATTATTAAAAACACTGGTTTATAAAGCACAGCTTAACATCTTGATTCTATCAGAGCAGTAAGTGAGTCACTTCTGTGTGTGTGTGTGTGTGTGTGTGTGTGCGTGCGTGTGCACACACACGCGTTGGTATATACTTATATAACTGTGGATAAAGAAATGAAAGCATTGCCACAGATTGTTAAAATTTGTTGGGGGCAGGAAGGGCAGTGGTTGTAAAGGGCAGAGAGTGATTAGCTAATAGAGAAAGAGAGAAGGAAAGAAATAGATCAGACTTTTTAAAAAGGTAGGCACAGCTAGGTATGATTGATATATTTTCATTTGTGTACGATTATACATTTTATGAGTATATATGCATTAAGAGATGCATGAAAATATGATCAACAAAATGTTAACAGTATTATTACATATTACAGGGGATCTTTATTTTCATGCTTATATAAATGGCTTGAATTTTTCACTATGAGTATTTGGTATTTATATAATCAGATAAAAATAACAAAGTCATTTGGCAAGAAATAACAAGTGTTGGCGAGGATGTGGAGAAAAAGGAACCCTCATGCACGATCGGTGGGATGCAAACTGGTGCGGGCACTGTGGAAAACAGTGTGGAGTTTCCTCAAAAAATTAAAAATAGAACTACCGTATGATCTGATAATTTTACTGTTGGGTATTTACCCAAAGAAAAGGAAAACACTGATTCAAAAAGATATATGCACCCCTGTGTTTATCGCAGCATTATTTTATTTATAGCCAAGATATGGAAGCAACAACCTAAGTGTCTGTCAACAGGTGATGGAAAAGGGGGATGTGGTGTATATATACACAATGGAGTACTGCTCGACTATAAAGAAGGATGAGATCATGCCATTTGAGACAGGCTGGGTGGACCTAGAGAGTATTATGCTAAGTGAAGTAAGTCAGACTGAGAAAGACAACTACCACATGATTGCACTCATAAGCGGAATCTTTTTTAAAAGAGTCAACAAAAAGCAGAATCAGGCCTATGAGTACAGAGAACAAACTGATGATTCCCTGAGGGGAAGGGGGTTTGGGCCAAACGGGTGAAGGGGAGAGGGAGGTACAGGCTTGTAGTTATGGAATGAAGGAGTCGGGGGAACAAAAGGCACAGCGTAAGGAATGGGGTAATAGCATTGGAGGGTTAGATGGGTAGATGGGGTAATAGCATTGGAAGGGACAGGCGGCAGTTATACTTGCGGTGAACATGGCATAATGTCTGGATTTGTCAAATCACTACGTTGTACGACAGAGTTGGTGTACGACTGTGTGTCAACCATACTCACTAATAATAATAATAATAATAATAACAACGTCATTTGGTATTCTCTGCACGTTTTAAGATCTAGACACTGACATTCCTGGTGATGTTTTCTGATTTTGGTGTTGTCTTCTGGTTTTGGTTTCGGTGTGTGTGCGTTGGCGTTTTCCCCCAGCATCGATGAAGAAGGTCAAATCCCTCCGTGATCCTTCGGCCAAAATGTCCAAATCGGACCCTGATAAACTGGCCACCGTCAGAATAACGGACAGCGCGGAGGAGATCGTGCGGAAATTCCGCAAGGCTGTGACGGACTTCACGTCGGAGGTGACCTACGAGCCGGCCCGCCGGCCGGGGGTCTCCAACCTGGTGGCCATCCACGCGGCCGTGACCCGCCTCCCCGTGGAGGAAGCGCTCCGCCGCGGCGCCGGCATGGACACGGCCCGCTACAAGCTGCTGGTGGCCGACGCTGTGATTGAGAAATTTGCGCCAATTAAGAGGGAAATTGAAAAACTGAAGATGGACA